TTATATAAAGCCAAGAATAGTTTTCATTTTCCTCAAGTCCCCTCTCCATTTTAATGAGCTCTAAAGAAGAGTATAGCTTTTTTCTGAGCAATTTGTTCTCAATCAATGTCAAAGTTAAAGACTATTAAAATATGCTATTAACATTGTTGGATTTTTTCAAGAATTTCAGCTATCGATCTTGTTGGATTCGTCAAGGAAATTTCTTAGTGAAGAATACACTCATGACACTTATTATTTAATTTCCTTGCTAGGGCTTAATATGTGCAACACACAACATTAATTTTACGGTAAAAGATTTCTATCTGTTACTGATTTTACATATATTTCATTAACGTAGCACATAACATTTCGCTTATTCATTTAAATATCGTAGTTGTATTTAATCTTAGAAATAAAAACACCATATAAGATACTTATCAATTTTAAGAACATGTAATTTCTATATTCTATTTTATAACACATAATATAACTTAAAAATATTGTTAATATACAATCTTCACAAAAAAAATTTATTTATATGGCCACACACGCGTGGCGCGTACCACCTCTATATGGCTTTTCATTTATATTTGTCTTTTTTTTCATTTTCTTGACCATTTTTTCCTTCATTATTTAATTATTTTATTTTTAATATCTCAAAATGTCTTCACATTCAATTATTCAACTTTTCACCTACTACTATAATATATAACATAATAATAACTACCAATAACTCCCACTTCTTCAACTTATTATCTTAATAATATTAATAAATCATTTTTAAATCTTCATAACATGCAAAATTAAATTTATTATTTATGAAATCTTATGATATTCCTCCTCTTTTTCTATATAAATTCAGATTTTGTAACAAGAAAAATTCCATTCAAAGTTATTTTTTCACTTCTCCAACACCATATCATACATAATGGTGAGAAAGAAGTGCTAATCATTACATCATATGTTTGCTTTCAATAAAGTTGTAATTTTTTAAATTATATTTTGTTTACTTTAATAATTATGTAATTTTATTTATTTTGTTTAGTCAATTTAATTAATCTTTGAAAATAAATTGAATAAACTCAATTCAAAAATAAAATCATGAAGTAACTTCAATTCAAAAATAAAATCATGAAGTAACTAACAGTTTCATACAACACCATATCATACATAATGGTGAGAAAGAAGTGCTAATCATTACATCATATGTTTGCTTTCCATAAAGTTGTAATTTTTTAAATTATATTTTGTTTACTTTAATAATTATGTAATTTTATTTATTTTGTTTAGTCAATTTAATTAATCTTTGAAAATAAATTGAATAAACTCAATTCAAAAATAAAATCATGAAGTAACTAACAATTTCATATAATTATACTTTTAATTTGTGCTGAAGAAGAGAGTTGAGGAAGATACAAAAGTAGAGAAAATTGTGAATTTGGAAGAAGATAATGTAGAGTCTTACAAATGGTTCGATGGATCCCTGTACTTATATGAGTTTATATTATGAACCCTTCTATTTAATATTTTATCAATTGAATCCTTAAACTCAGTAAAAACAAACATATATTGAAGCCCTCTGATCGTTGACTAAGCTTATGTGGCATTGAGATGATTGAATTTGCAAGAGTATGTGACTTCACGCCTTTACAAGTGAGTGATATCATGTTTAAATTTAAAATTAAAAAATAATAAAATGACCAAAAAAATTAAAAAATAAGAAACCTTTTTCATCATTGTTGAGTGTGCTCGACATTAGAAAGAAAAAGAAAAGCGAGGTTGGTCCATTTTTCGTTGGAACGGAGGTGGCGAGAGGGGGTACACTGGAGAAGATGGAGAGAAGAAGGGTCGCTGGTGGTTCGGAGAAACGAAGATTGTAGAGAGGAGATGAGGCAAGTAAGGGTGCGAGGAAGGACTGTTCAAAATCGAATCAAAAACGATAACCTAAAACAAAAAAAAGTTATTGGTTTATCAGTATTGTGTTATAGGTTTAGCGGTTTTGATAACGATTTTAATTTTTTTTGTTATTGGGCCATCGGTTCTTAACGGTTTAAGATTTTTTCTTAACGGGTTAACTGATAACCCGATAGTAAATTAAATAATTATATTTGTACCATTTTGTATATAAAGTCCTTGACTTAGAGTTTGGTTTCCTACTTTTGTTTTTGGTTGTCTCAAACACTTGGTTATTCTACAATATAAAAGTGTTTATCATGATGTAACTTGTGAACTCATGTTCATGGTTTATTTGGGTTGTCATCTTGTTTCTAAGTGATTTTCAATATTTTTTTGGTGCCAAATCTTAACGGTTAATTCAATAACGATCAAAAACTGATAAACCAATATATTAATGGTACTTTAACAGTTTAGCATCTCTACAAATCGATAACCAATAAGCCAAACCGATAAATTTTAAAATTGAAATGAACCGACCATACGCAGACCTAGTGCAAGGAGTTGGTCACGTAGGCGGAGAGACTTGTCGGTCGGAGTTGGTGGTGCGACGACTTAGGGCTGCTTGTTTTGTGAAGGTCGGGGAATGAGAAAAGGAAAATGACGCGTATGCGGCAGAGATGGGCATGGTGAGGAAGAGAGTATAGGTGGTGCAGACAGCGGGCTTAGGTTATCAATTGGTTAAAAGATTATTTTAACAAGTTAAAATCTTGTGTTAAAAGATTATATAACCTATTATTTAATATTTTTAAGTAATAATTTATAAAAAAAAAATAGTTAATGAATATAATATGACATGGTGTTTATTTAAATGACGCAAATTTGACATGTCATCTATTATGAGAGAGTGAACTACACACATGATAGGAGGAACTTAAAAATCTACTTTTGATTTAGTTTAAGGGTTCAATTGGTAAAGAATTAAGTAGAAAGGTCCATAATAAAAAATCATGCGAGTATAAGAGTTCATTAGATCATTTCGCCTTTTTATTTTTATTTTCTTTAGCTTTTCTATATTTCATTTATGTACTTTATTGAAAACTAAAAATATAAAGATTTTTTTTTCTTTTTCTTTTATATAACTATAGTTGTACATACATAATTCATTGGGTAAATTATGGTTTGCTTTTCTGAATTTTTATCATGATAATTTTTTGCGAACATTCTAAAACAAACATATGTACTCAATGTTACTGTTTATTTGCATGTTGTAGTACATTCATAAATACAACACTATGAATGGAAGGATTTTAAAGAGCGAAAATTTGATAACTTAAAAAATACATTATCCAAGCAAAATTATTCAAAAAATTGACAATAGACCTTTGAATATTTGTATAATTCTAACGAAAAACTAAAGAAACTATAAACTATGCACTACTTTTTTTTTTCTTTTTTAAAAAGGACAAAGATCCTATATATTTTTTCCTTATTTTTTTAAAATATAAATTTCACTATATTTTAATTTATTATTATTATTATTAAAAAAAATTCAATTATTACTCTGTCAGACACTTGTACACTACAGACCCGTGAAAGCTTCTGTGGAATGACCTTTAGACTCCCCAGAATTCCTCATCTTCCACGAGAACTTCACAGATCGTATTGTCTGTGGAAAACTTTCGTGAAATGCCTCCATCATTTAGGTCAAGGTTGTTTGAGTATTTTTCTATAATTGTAATTCCTACACTATATCGTTTTGACTTATTCTAAGTGGAATTAAGGGTTTAAGAGCCCAAAACTCCTCATTCATTCATAACCTCCCCAAATTAGATTTCTTCTTTATCGAGTCTCCTTTCAAGCAAGAACTAGGGGTTCAAGCTTCAATTCTCCATTCGAAGAATCAAACCAAAGCTTCCACTCTATGTATGTCTTAGGAAATGATGGAACATTCCAAATCATTATGTCTTTAGAAACTCTAATCAATGTGTGCTGATGCATCTCTTGTGGTTCCACAATTTATCATTTGGAAAACTAGATTTTGGATGTCCGTGGCTTTATTATGAAATGCAAATTGAAATTGAACTCCATGCTTTATACGTAGCAAACAGAATTGGCTTTCAAGCTTTACATATCAATATTGATGCAAAACAAGTATTAGATAGTAACAAGTATCAATTATATGCTAATCTCATCACTAATTGTAGGCACTTCCACTAATTAATCCAACCATCCAACACGCGTATACATGGAGCAAAAAGTTGTGGCAGATGCACTTGCTAAATTAAACGAGGATGTCGTCTTACAACTATGCTAGGCTCTCTACAAATACCGCCATATGTATGATAAATAACACTCATCTGCAAATTCTTCTGCAACACCTTGCTCTTTGTATGTCGTCCCTTTTGTTATAAATGTAATACAATATCCTTAACATAAAAACAAATAAAAATCATAGTTAGTATAAAATGTTAATTTCATCTGTGATCGCTACATTTTAATGTTCATCATATTTGTAAAGTTATAAAACAAAATATTTTATTATCATCGATAGTAAAGTCACAAAGTTATTGTTTTCTTTTTATCATTTAATTCTGTGTTTTCTTCCTACATTAGTCTCTTTTGCCATTTGCATTTCTACATAAAGAGAGAAATCTGCAAATCAACAAGGCAATATTCTTCATTTGTTCAAAGTTTATAGTTTTGCCAGAAAAAGATAGCCACACCATCAATTATGATTTTGACTTACCTTCGAAACAGCAATCCAATGATTAAGAGTATTGAGAGCTTTCCCAGATTCATGTGTCATACGTGCCACGGCTACTCCTTCAGCTAAGTTACCAACTCGCCCACTGACTAATAATGCTGCTGCGGCATTCAGTATCTAAATTTTTATTTACACATGAGAGGCATGACATGATCAGTAAGAGTTTGAATTCTGTACATTGTTATGAATTTACAATAACAAGTAATCTGTCATAGCAAGTCCGATATGGTAACTTAAAACACTTGTAGTAGTGGAGACATAGACTTTATTGTCTAGGATAAAGCAAGACTTTGCACAAAAATATTTACCAATCCAAACAATCGATGAACAGTACATGAGCTGAATTATGATTGATGATGACCTTACGTGTTACAAGTCTTAACTAATATTGCTACGTCTAAGATATCGTTTGAGGTACAGGTATAACATATGAGAGGAAAAGGTAATCTATGTAGTGTCGCAAATAACCACTAAAGAAAACACTTAGCATGACATGATCAAAGAGGAATACAATGACTTACTAATGCATCTGCAATTGGCCCCCTTTCACCCGAAAGCACACGCCTTAGTACTTCAGCGTTATACTCCGGCCCTCCCCCTTTAAGGTTCCTTAAAGTGCAGCGAGGTATACCAAAATCGACTGCATTAATAATACAATACACAAATGTTAGTTATAGAATCTGATGCTGAGAAAGCTAATGATTCTTATTTTCTTCTTTTGGAGTCAAAATGCAACAACAACTGAGATGTGCCTCAGAATGTTACCTCATTTTCTTTTGTATTGCAATCGGTAGTAATTAACTGCACAATCAATCAAAATAAAGCGCGCAGTTGCTAAACCAGATAAAGTGATAATCAAGTGAACTTTTACTATTGATGAAGCATCATCTCTACTTCGACTAATTTTAGTGTGGGCCAATGTTATGCTGTACATTATTTTTCTATACTCGTGGCCTGGTAGCCAAAATTACCATGTTATTAAACCATAAATTTTCGCTGTGGAACTTCAATAGCAGGTTTACCAGGACAGCAGATATATCAAAGTCAGTATACTATCCATCCCAATATACAAAAACAGATTAGAGACCAGATCACTTGCAATGAAACATTATTTTGCACTAGAATTTGCTAAAAAAGGCACCAATCATTATGCTTGAACAGGGGCAGAGCTAGAGCTCCGCATACGGTTTCAGCAGAACCCAATATAGTTTTTGCTTGAACTATAAATAGAAAAAGGATTCTTACGTGGGTCGAAAGAGAATTTCTCTATCTTTTGAGGTGTAACATCAAGGACAACTCCAGGTCCTGCATGTGCGTTCCCATAGCATGAGTGATAAAGCCAAGTAGAATCTT